ATACCACACAATGTCTAGTTCTAAACCTTGAAATTATACAATAGGCTTTCTTTCACAAAATCTCTTTATCACTGTCAGATGCAGAGAGAGACACTTCCTTACCATGCCAGACAAAACAAATACAAACAATAAGTATGGAAGTTATGTCTTTGTTCCAACCTTTAAAAGATTTCCCCAAAAAGCAAAGAGTAACTAAATAGCCAAAGACTAGGTAGAGGATCATGCTTTTATTACTTTCACAGATATTTTGGTGATGATGCTGTGCAGGATATGCTTAACATGTTAGTTTTTGGACAGTTTTGTTTGGCATAAGGATTTATTTTGGAAGATGTACTTATCAGGCAGGCAAAAGTAGCCAAAGGTAATTTAACTGTTCCTCCCTGAAATCTCAGGAAAATCCCACTGGGTGTTTACTGAACCAGTTGAGTTGCTGCTACATCCAAAGCTGGGCCTACGCTGTTAATCTGGGATCCTGCGCCAGCCATTCTTCTGTGTTGGGGTTGTCATGCCAGAGCTTGCTGCTGGCCCACTCTAAAGGCAGTAAAAAGCTGTACAAGTACACACACACACCTATCACCATCCATCACCTGAGATACCAGCATCCCTCTAAGGCCTGTGACGCACATTTACCCACAAATGTGTATGTGCACACGTGCGTGTTGCCCCCATAGATACACTACAGCATTCCTAAGGACTTGGCTGCTTCAGGGAGATGCCATTAAGGTCTTCCCCCTATCTATCCTGCACTGAGGTGGAGAGGAGGAATGATCTCCTCAAGGATAACATTAGAGCTCTCTACTGGAGACCAGGAATGGTAACTCTGCCTTGCTGAAACACAGAGCTCATATCTGGCACTGGAAATGATCCCAGCATGAGGCCTCAACACTGGGCACTGCTAATGGGCACAACCTTTTTGAAGCCATTTTAAAAGCATTGTAAGATAATGATTTCTCACCACTGAAATCTTAGAAAGCAGATTCATCCCAGTACTAAATAAAGCATCGGAATTAAGAAAGCAAAAAAAGCTTTTAAGAGGAATTTTTTTTTTCAAAACTTCTCTACCTTTTTTCCTGGATTTCTGCATATGTGTGATGCATTCCATATACATACTGTAGGCTAAAACAAATGCCTCAGTGGCATTTGTAGAAATGGTCTATGTAAATCATGCAGAAATCACACTAACACCCTCCCCAAAAGTCTTGTTTTTTCTCTCTCATCAGTAGGTGTGGCTGCATTCATACCTATACATATGTATACATACACACATATGTATGTGTATACATATACAGAAAAATGAGAGAGGATTGACTCCTGGAAGAGTAGATTATGTATGTTTATGTATGTACATTTTTGCGTTTATATACATACATGTATGTACTTGTATAGAGACAAATACACACAAGTATATATATCTTTACACATGCAAACACGTATAAAAGTGTAAATTCTTACAAACACACAACACATACATATATGAAAAAGAATATTTAAATAAAACTGTTGCACACTTTCAAGTATAAAAAGTTAACTTGACTGCTAGCTCTATTTATCCCTGTTATGACAGTTAATCAGGTCCTAAAGAATCCCTTGTAATGTAAGACACATTTGCCTCTTGGAAAATAATAGGAGGATGGTCTATAAATCACAAAGCTGGTGCAGTGTAGACAATATCAACAGTGAGTGTGACAAACACTTAACTGAGAGATAAGGAAGTAAAAAAAATATATTAATAATTGACAAAATTTACATTAAAAATCAAAATAAACAAAAGAGCAACTATTTTGATTCCAGTAGAACTCTAAAATCTGGAAAAAAACAGTCATATAGAATGTTCCAATAAAATAAATACTGAATATAGTCTACATACAATACAACAAACTTTACATTGATTCCCCGCTGAAGATGTTAAAATCTTCAACTGTTGCTAGGTAATCTTACCTACAAAATGATTACCCCCAACAAAGTCATGTGCAATAATACCTAATAAGGAAAAAAGGCAGGAAAAAATGTGGAAATTTGAGTAAGATATTAAAAAGTTTTTCTAGAAAAAGAGAAAATACATTAGAATAGCTGTTTTCAAATATACTCTAACCATTCCAAGGTCATATCTTGCAGATATTAGTCTTGAAAAAAAAAATTGATTCATTCTGGGACAGTCTGTGTGCTTTTAAGACAGAAGTCCTTTCTTGTAATAAATTTACTTTAATTTAGAGTATAATATCCACCCACAGTGTTGTTCTGGAATGGTTTCCAGTAATTTTTTCTGTAAATAGAAATTTTATATCAAGTACTTTTGTGAAAAATGTTATGAAATGTACACAGGAAGAATTCTATGTAAGTGACACAAAACATAGTAAAACCAAGCATGGTTACTTCTTTGATCCAGTATTCTGCTAAATGGCAGTCTAGCTTTGGTTATCTTAGACATCTGCAATGCTATTATTCAAGCTGAAAAATGGTGATTATTTCATAAATACTTCTCAATGGAATGAGTTTAAGCACCTGCCTAAGTACTTGGCTAATTCCTGGCTTCAGCTTGTAAATTGGAGCAATAAGCACTAGTAGTTATTGTATTGACTGCATTTTGGCATTCTGTATAGTATCCAGATTCCATGATATTTTCATTTCTTACCCTCCCTAATTGTTTCAGATTAAGATATCACAACTGGGCAGTCCTAGTCAGGATTCAGAAAAGGGTAATTTAATGAAAAATATGCTTAGTGGGCCATTGTTTAATATATTTCACTATTTTTCATGCTTTTTAAACATGTCACAAAGCAGAGTATGTTTCAATCATTTTCAATTCTACCAGTACACCCTTTTAGCTGAAACTTTTTTCCTTTTTTCTTCCTTACAGAAGTAAAAGAAGTTTCTACTCTATTGTGGAGGTGATGACTCTTCTTCCAATATTGCTCCTCAGTTTATTATGTCCCCTTTATAATTTGACTTCTACATTAAGTACCTTTCTGTGACAATCAAGGTTTTCCAATGATCTTCTCTGCTTATGGCCCATAATTCTGTTAAGTAAAACAGAGTCTTTCCATGAATTAATTGTTGGCCAATTCCTTATGTCTTAAGGATAGTTGCCATGAATGGACTTTTCCCCCTTTTTGGAACAAGGTGATAAAATTTGGTTATATTTATATGTATTTTTCTGCTGAGTTCATTGAGGCCCAGATTTCATTCTAGTGACCTTAAAGCCTGATTGGCCTGAACGACCTGGGTGATTTAATGGTGATAAGAAAGAGAATAAAGTTGCCAAAGTTCAAGGAGTGAGTTTCATTACCAACACCAAAAATAGCACAGAGTCATCATCCCTGTAGCATCTATGGTTGGCATCAACAGTACTGAAGGAAAGGCAAAGCGTGACTTAGTTTGGAAACTACAGAAACACAGGCAATATCTTGATTTTAAATCATTTTGTGTAATTTAAGCAAGATGAGACTGAAAATACCTCATGAATATGAGGTTCCTTACAGCTTCACAGCTTCTCCAGACCTCAGACTGCAAACAGGTTGCAAATGTGGGAATTGGAAATTTGACTGTCACAGAGTTGTGCTATGAACTTCCACTGGAGGTTTGACCAAGTCATGTGTTAACTGTCCTGTCTTGCCTTGTCTGTAAAATGGGAATGATTGCGTTCACCAACCCATTTAAAAAGGTCACTCTAAATGTAGTTAATATCTATGAAAGGAATAAAAAAAAGACTAAACGGGCTAGGAGAATAGTGGGCTTCATTCAGCATTATTTTATTTGGGTAGCCAGCTGGATGATTCTTAAGGTGGCAGTAAGAGGTTGACCCATTTGGCAAAAGATAGTGTTATTTATATTTGTCTTACACTGAAAATTAATGTCTTGGGTTTCACATTAAGCAGACTGTATTCCATATCACAAAGCCAGAAAACACCAACACCACCAGTTCTTCACATCTTTAAATAAGAGGAAATACAAATGCCTCTGTAGAGGTGAAAAAAGGAACTGGGGGGGAAGATGATACAAAAAGAAATATTTCAAAAAAGAGAGCTGTCATCTGGATGACATCACATGGGGTATGTTAAATTAGATGGTCTAAATAAGACAACACATCAACAGACTAAGCACTGTTTTGAAAGCCACAGAGGTCTGAATTCAGTTCTTCTAGTTACTAACTGGGTGGTCTGTGCAGGAAAATTCATGGGTTTGGGTCCACCTTTTCAATCTATAAAAGGGAACTCTAGCTACCTCATCAGACCTGGACAGCACTACTGGGTAATGTTTGAAGAAATCTTAAGAGGAAAAGTACATGTTGCATAATTGCTACTGGCTTTATTATCTTAGAACACCAGGCAGCTGTCCGACAGCTAATCAAGTTCATTTTTAATCTCTTGACATGTCCCTCTGTCACTGTTTTCATGAAGGAAAAAAGGTCACTGTTTCACCCTGCACCCAGCATAAAAGTTAACATATGAGTAATAGAAAATGCCAGTGTAATGACAATGGTTCATTTCTATGTTTTACTCTAAGCAAAACAACTCTCTATGTTACATAGCTGACATCTGTTTCTGTGGAGCTCTATCTGAAGATGCAGTCTTTTTATAATATCTGAGGATCTTATACAGCAAACAAATAAACAACAGCTGTGAAAACATCTAGAGCATTTTACAATTACTCTTATATGAAGATCTTGAAATACTTGAAAAATATGAAGATTATTATTCGTGCCAGTGAGGAAACTGAGGCACACCTAACTGGAGTGGCCACAGCTGTGCAGAGAGGTAGTGGCAGAGCAGAGTCAGCAGCTCCAGAATCTCGTGAATACTTAGCCTCGACTTAGAAGTACTGATCCCTTCAGTATTCAGTATTCAGTATTCAGTACTGATACCTTTCCCATCAAACTTAACATCAGCTAGGAAACAGTCTGCACCGCACAGAGTCATTCCCTTTCCTTCTTCGCTGACAAGCGGGATGCTCATCCCAGCTCACCCACCCCAAGCTGACAGTCCCCGTCCCCGTGTACTCACCTGCTTGTAGGCGTCCAGGAGGAAGCTGTTCCAGACGCAGCGCAGCCCCTCCGAGGTCAGCATCCTCCTCCACTCACCGCGCCCAGACTTAGAGCGGCTCAGAAACAGCACCATGTGTTTCAGGAGAATCACAGAGTCATACAGCGCAAGAAAGAGGCAATTGGAGAAAAAGACCGGCAAGATCTGAAGCGTGATCAGCAAATCCACACTTAGCAGACCCATCTTCCTTGCTGCTTCTTTTCAGCTGGATGCCTTTAGCTCTCTTTATTGCTCTGTACCCTCATTTAAGAGAGTAAAGTAAAAGGCATTTCAAAAGCCTCCCTATTCTTCTCTCAGCTGTTCTTTTTAAAATGAGCAGAGATAGTTAAATATGAGCAGGCTGGTTAAAACCATAACTGAACTATACTCATTCAGTTCTGAGCTGCTTATTTTTCAGAAATTAAGATGTGAAAAATTTTTCTCTTAACCAGGAGACCTGCTTTTGTTGAAGAGAGAGGCAGCTGTGTTTCCAGTTCCCTGCAGTTACAAAATTTAAGCTGAGACTGTTAATTGTTAACTTTCCTGCACTATCCCATTGTTTCTCAGCTATTTAAGCACTGAACAGACCTCTCATTTCTGTGCCACTAAAGCTAGCTACCAGGTGCAACAATACTTTTTAAAAAAGGTTTATGTACATAAACTTTCTGTTCCTTCCTCCTTGCCTCCCTCCCTCTCTTTCCCTCTCTGCCTCCCCCGCCCACCCCACCCCCCCCACTCCGCGTTTCTGTATTCCTGCCTTCCTCCTCTCGCACTCTCTCTTGCTATCTGCCTATGGTGCAAAGTGCTCTCCCCTCTGGAGTCCTCGCTTGCTTCCCTGAAGCCTTTTATACATTCCCTAGCTAATTGCTGCAATAGAGAAATGAAACCCTAATCTTAGTAAAGATCTTGACGTCAATGTAAAAGAGGGCTTTACTTTGGCTAGGACTGCAGTGAATAGAAAAAAATGAAATTCTCAAAACTTTTTTTTTTTCCCTTAAGAGAGAGGACAAAAAAGAGAGACAGAGAGCAAGGGTGGAACTTTGCTTTACTTTGAAAAGGAAAAGAGAGAAAAAACCCAATATGCTTCTGAATGTTCTTACAAAATGCTTCCAAATTTTGGAAGAAGTATTTTCATATGACATGGAAAGTGACAGAGCAACACAGAATTCTTTGTCGATGTTTTTTTCTCATGGCTGAGGTTTTTTTCTTTGTCCTTTTGTCTTTTCCAGGAAGGTGTGTGAGTTGATGCATCCCAAGAAAGGGCACACTTCTGTACATCTTCCTCCCACCTGCATGAAGTACAACATGTACAGTGTTTAAAGATTTGTGTTGTTTTCTTGGTAACATAAGTGAACACCCTGCACTGAATTCATCTACCAATGTGTAAGAGAAGATGAGAAAGAGAGAAAAAAAGGTTTTGATGTATTTGGGGTTTTTAAGCTACAATTCCCTGCTTAAATAAAAATATGCTTCAGCCTTCAGTGTTATTAATCAACTAAGCTTCAAGGATTTCAATATTCCCCTAAGATAACTATTTACATCCACTAGTCTAATAAGGATAACTAACTTTTGGTTAAAATCTTGTAAAGAGAAAACAGAAATTTCCTCTGGCAGAGCCATGTGTGTTACAGCAACTGCAAGTATTCCCTGCAGCCCCATGCTGAAGGATTGTTTTGTTAATTTCCACTTCTCTTTGTTTCACCTTTTTAGTCCAATTTTTAGTCCTCTTTTCACATGATTTTTTTGGGGGTGATTCAGTAGACATGTTTTGTTTGGGGTTTTTTTAGCATGGTTTTAAATCCCTTAGGTAAATATTTTATGTATATCATGTTGCAGACATCCACAATTTTGGTTTTCAGTGGATGGCTTCCCTATGTGCTTATGTAGGCTCCATGCATCAGATACATTTCATTCCCAGAGATGCCAGCATGATATGTAACCTCTGTCAACTCACATCCTTCATGAGTAGTACAAGCTTACTTCAATAATGTACCTTGGTCTTCCTCAGTCGTCACTATCCTTTCACTGCTAGCAATTGCAGAGGGTAGACACCATCCATCTTCTCTGCTCTAGGGTCTGTCATTTTCAGATATTGTGATATCACTTGGCCTATCATACTAGGATGTCTGCCTCTAGAGAGGCCACCCCATACTTTGGCTTGTTCTCACCAGAGAAAAGTTTGTTTAGGTAGCATAATTTCAGGCATTTTCAAAAGATATCACCCAGGCAGGATATCTTCCAGCAAATGTTTATTCATAGAGATAACTTTAAAATGTTGCACACATTAAACCAGTGACCTTCTGCATTACTAACATAAACAAAAACAAAGGAGCTGAGTTTCTTTTTCAAACTATTTTTTAAGTCAAATGTTGGTGATGACAGTGTTCTGTTGCCATAGAAGGACTGCAACCTCACAGATCTGGCTTTATTACTAAAACTTGCAAAAACACGTTATAAGTAGGCATTTATATATCCCCACACGTGGATGAGTCAGTGTGCTCATGTCATGTGAGCACAAGACAGGAACAAGGGTCCCCAGAGCTGCTAAACTGGCTTGCTCTCTAACCTCAGGCAAGCATATGTAATCACTTGATTACGAGCACTCTTAAGCCTAGGTTACTCTTCTGTAGATCCACCACTAAAAAATGTATGATTCTGTCTGGGAAGGTCTCTTTTCTTTATTTTGGGAAGGTCTGTTAAACGGCAGGCCTGGAGGTTGTTGATGACAGTGCCAGATGAATCATCAGCCATTGTTTCTGAGAACAGTTTGCAAACAGCTCTGAGGACAGTCCAGCTCAGGCTCTTCCTGTTCCCTGGAGGTAAAGTCAGGCAAGAACTTACCCTGGGAACATAATGTATTCTGGGTTCCTGTGAAACAACTGCCCCTACCCACAGCATGCTTCATGGGTGAAGAGGTTGTTTGTAAGACAGCTGGAGACCAGACAGCTATGGAGCTTTGAAGTGCTGGAAGCTGGGCAGGAAGCCCATGGAGCACTGGTGTGAGATGGTAGTTCATATTTACCACGTCACCTTCCTTGCCTATAAGGCAGACTGTGTGTATTGAGTTAAACAGAACTACAACAGGCTGTGTTTGGGAGCTTCAGTCAAGAGATGGGTGATAACTCCCTAATCCAACTATAAAGACATAAATCTTTTTCTAAATAAATGTAATAAGATAGGTTTTGCCATTACTGTTTTCAGAAGCAGTCTGTCCCTGCAGAGCACAAGGCACTACTGGTCAACTTGACAGCAGAGTCCGGCAGCCCTCAACAGAGAAGGAAAGCTTAACCCTTCTTCTTGTTGATACTGTTTTTCTCCTTCTTGACTGAAACAATTGATCCCTGTGTTTACTTATCTCAGATATTAAAAATACGAGGGAATTCACGAATTGCATCTTTTGTGAAAGTTGGGTATCTAGAGCATAATCTCACATTTGAAGCCAACAGTCTGTTGCTATTTCCCTGCAGATGGTCATGAAGAAAGGAAGAAAGGCTAGATATTTCATGCCTTGAGACATTTACTTTCTTGAAGGGAAAGTTGATGAATTTGATACACGAGGAAGAATTAGGCATAGTTGAAGTTATACATGAGAGAACTGAGACAGGTTTCAGCTAAAGCTCATTTCAGTTACCTCCTCTGCCATAACTTCCTATATAATTTGGGCACAGCCCTACAATGTACCTCAGTTCTTCATCAGCAAAAGAAAATAAAAGTCTTCTCATAATCTAAGGAGCAGTCAGGTTCAGTAATGGGAAATTAAACATATCATCCATAATTTGTCAAGGTGGAATGAGCAAAGCCAACAACATTAAAGCATTCACTGTTAATAAACTTTGTATGTGGCTGAAGTCAACAGTATCGGTATAGATGTTCATATTCTGTAATGTTTATAAAATTCAGTGCCATCAAAACTGAATCCATGCATAGCGTCACGTTTCTTTCCAGTTTCAACCACAGTAGCATGAAGACCAGGACATGAGGAACTAGTAAGTTTGTTTACTGTAACTGCCTTGATAACTGTACCTGGACATAGGAAATGTGAGGTGGAGTTACAACTGCTCAGGCCACCATTTTATAGTAGATCCATACCAGCTTTTTGCATGTCAGATAGTGTATTTTACAACCTGCACTTGGTTGTGTAGGTCTTTACTTACCTGTGGCTGAACTACCTGTGTAAGTTGCTGTGGCACTCCATCAAACTGTATCTAGGTACCTAAGTGCAAGACCCCAGAGTACAAAATAAGTAGATTGATTGATATTTTGTTTACTCAGCCTTATTTTCTCAGACTAAGCAAGACTATTTTGAATGCAGTTACTCTTTGCAGCACAGCTGCAAAAGGGTACCTCACAGCGACAGGAAAGCAAGGCTACTGCTCTGGTCCTACCCCCAGGAGATTCATGGGAGAGATCATCCCGAGGGATTCAGCACAACCTGTGTGCCTGCCTTGCCGCTTCTCACTGCTTTCACTGCCAAAAACAAAGAATGAAGCTTTTTGTTTCAGAGCTAGTTAGTGTGTCCATGAGCTTATCCCTGGAGAATTGTGCAGCTGCAGAGTGATATGGCTAGAGATGAGGAGGAGAAAAGTTTTGCTTAGCTTTGCCTCCCTGGCCCTGGGCAAAAGTTTTTCATTACAGCCAAACAAGAATTTGTACCTCTCATAAAACTGCATTTTTTCTCTTTGCCGAAAGAGAAAAATCACCCCCTTCTCTCAGCAACAATTCCTTCACTTAAAATGCTGTGGATCATTGAATGACTGTCTATTTGCACTTTTTGATTGGGATCAGCAGCACATGTTCTTAAAGAAATAATATGTTCAATTAAAAATAAAATTATTCAGGCAAGTTGCAGTGTTACCTGAACAGATTACCCATGGTATGTATTCACCAGGCCTTACCTTCCTCTGTCATTCCTGGCCACGGCACCACATCTGAATGGAGCAACTTTCATCCCACAGGTAACCAGCCCCACTCTGCCTACTTAAAGCTGCCTCTGTTCTCTATAGAATCTGCTTACCAGCCTTTCAAAGGTGAACACACTAAATCTATCCTTACTGCCTAATTTATTTGACTTTTGTATCAGCTTTGGTTTTGTTTTATTTGGATTGTTCTACCTTGCCATTATGCTGTGTAATTGAGAGCTGATTATTCTGAGAAACTGGCAGCTGTGAGAGGTGCTGATTTAATAGCCCAGAAGACCTGATTCCTTAAGTTTATCTGCAGTGAGGCTGAGCACAGGTAAGGAGAATGCAAATTGCCCACAGGAACAGCTCCTCATGGCAATTTGGAGTGAAGTTCCTGGAGCAGAAAAAGGTAGTCAGCCTCATTGCCCACTCAGTCCATAAGGCAGCACTACAATTAGGACATTTCATCCAGTAGATGCCAAATTGGGACAGTATTCATTTGAACTAAGGAAGAAAAAGACCATATAATTGGGTCACTTCTGGATAGGGAAAGAACAAAATATCCTAAGATTTGGCAAGTTATACTTAGATATACCAGTTGTCTATAACTGAGGTTGTCTTGTAATCAAGCCACAGTGGTTCAGAAAGATCAACGTGCACAAGGAGAACTGGGACTGCTGATGTCTCTGCAAAACCTGTTCTGTTGGCTTCAAAGCTGTCAGTCTGGCACCTCCTAAGAGCCTGCATTCATTGTATGACAGCAAAATGAAAAAATTGACTCATGGGTGTGGTTGTATAATAGTGACAAATTTGAGACTAGAAAAAATCCCCACATCCCTTTGTTAATGATCCCCAAATTTCTATGCAAAACAAAAATAATCTCCCTGTTTCAATAAGCTACAGTAAACAAACCTGACGCTAAAACACACCTGGTTGAGTCAGACAGTATTGGAACA